TTTTAATTATCTTATGAGTTCTTGTCTCATGAATTGATGTATTTTTTTTTTTTTTTTTTGAGACAGGGTTTCACTATGTAGATCAGGCTGGTCTTGAACTTATTTTGTAACCCAGGCCGGCCTCAAACTCACAGTGATGTTCTTGCCTCAGCCTCTTGAGTGTTCAAACAAAATTTCTTAAATACAGAAAGCCTCTGTCTCAGTTACTTTTCACTTGTTGCTGGGACAAAATACCTGACACTCATATTTAAGGAAGGAAAGGTTTATTTAGCTCAGTTTGTGGAGGTTTCAGTGTATACTCAGCTAGCTCCCAGGCAGAGTGGCACATGGCAGAGAGCAGCAGTTCATAGCAGCAGAAAATAGCAAAGAGCAAAGGGAAGGGCAGCAGTTGTGGCTTCTACCCAGCCTCTCTCCCCTCTTTATATTATAAACCAGCTACCCTGGGGCTGGGGGTGTAGAGTTCACACAATGTCCCTGTGTGAACATCTTGCATATGATGAAGACATTTACAAACTAAGAATCCTAGCTCTCTGTTGAGTCACTCAAACTTCTAAACTTCTCAAGTTGACACAATATATCAACAAGTACAGCCTCTTTTAAATTAAACTTTAATAAGTACTTGTATGTTGTTTTCCTCAAAAAGATTTTTTTTAATGCTATTTTTATCTAATGTATTTGGTACATAGTCTCACAATGCAGCTCAGACTTATAGTGATTATCCTGTTTTCAGCCTCCCCAAGGCTGGGATTAAAGGCCTGCACCACCACAGATGGTCTTGGTGGCCAGCTCCGCATGCCTTGGGGTAGGGCTGGCATGGCACATGCTGCTGGGGATTGAACCCCAGTCCCTGAGCTTGCCTAAGTAGGCACTTAGTCCACTAAGCTATCTCACCAGCCCCCTCGAAATTTTTAAGAGATTTATCTTCATAAATATTGATTATATTTATTCATGCTAACTTCCAATTAAAGAATACAAATTCACTGCTAAAAGACGAAGAAATTAAGGAAAGGGTCATATAATACCAGGCAATAGACACTTCTATTTTCTTGTATTTTTTTCTAGGCTTTTAGAACTTTTTTATATTGTACCTAAAGTTTGTAATTTTTTGTTGATTAGCATATCATGAATATCTTTTCATATCCTAAATAGTCTTCTTCATGTCATTATCTTAATCCCCTGTGGCTGGACACTTAGAGACTTCCAGTTATTTGCTGTTACCCCACAAAATTCTAGCTAATGTTTTGTTCTTACACCTATTAATATTTATTGCTATTGCTAAGCTGCCCTCCAGAAAAAGACTGCAATGATTTATTTACCTCACGCTTGTTTCTTCCCATTCTTGCCAATAAAGGATAGGATAATTTTTAAAGACCACAGGCTATTTTGTGTATTTTTCTAGTGGTTACAGATGGAGCTTGGCACATAGTGGACTCTAAACTATTTTTTTTTTTTTTTTGGTGGAACCAGGGATTGAACTCAGGCCCTTGTGCTTGCCAGAGAAGCACTTATTCCACTGAGCCATCTCCCCAGCCCCTCTAAAATAATTTTGATAACTGGATTAGTGTTTACTCTATAACTTATAAATATTAATTTTCCAAATAATTATTACTCAGTATACTTATCCCATATGATAACCTTTGATCTACATTTAAAAATGAGTATGGCATTTAGAAATAAACAATACTTTATGCACAATGGAAAAAACTTTAAATTTGCTGATTTCAAACATAGTATATATAGGACATAATAATAATGTATACACAATGTAATGTGTATGAAACCAAAGTTGTCCTACATTCCCAAGTCTCTTGGGAACAAGCAATTTCTCTCATTTTTCTAAGAATAGGAAGCACTAAAACTTTTCCTCTGTGAATTTAAGAATAGAAAACTTCTCATCTATTAGCTATAAGAGTCTTCAGAATCAGATGAATTATACCATAGAGAATGTCAAAACCTGGTGCTGATTTTTATATTCTTAGAGATTTTCTTCAAAACTGAGAAATAAAAACAACACTGAAGTTTCTAGAGGGAGCTTCAATGTTCCTATCTATTCCTGAAAGCTTATTTTACTTACAGCTACCTCAGGTCTAGGATGACTGGATAACTATCACACTTAGTTATGGTATTTAATTTTATAAGTCTACTACTCCACTATCAGAAAGAGCATACAAAGGTAATTACTAGTTCCACCTCTCTAATACATAAATCTTTTCAGTAAAAATTAGCATAGCCTTAAAACATTACTGATTTGAAAATGCATTTAAAAGGATGTTCTGCAGTCCTTTTATGTTTGCTCATGATTGGCAGAAGGTGCTAGGATGACTTGGAAACTCACTAACCAAGATTTCATGGAAAGAGAATGTGACTATAGAGTCAGAAGATATGGATTCTAGCCCAATGCCTGGCAGTAGGAGCTACTTAATAATTGTCAAGTCATTTCATGTCTTGGGGCTAGTTTTCTCTGTCGTAAACAAAAAAAAACCTGATTTAGATCAGCATTTCCCAGAGTGTGTTCTGTCTTATGAGCTGTTGTCATATGAGCCGTTTCCCTGGAAAATGGACTTCATGGTCAAACATATTTTGGGAAGTGCTATGCCTAATATAGTACTTCACACAGTACACTGAAACACCTAACACTTCTCTTGTTTAGAACCATTCAAACTTATTTAAACTATCATTTTGTACTTCTTTGACTAGAGAAGCTTTTAGGTCAGTTCCCTTTCAGAGAGCCGCCACCATCCAGGCAGTCTCCTAAACCAGAATCTCCAGAATCATTCTACAAGTTCCCCTCCTTGTACTGCCTCACAGCCAGTTACTCTCAGATCCTATAGATCCACCCTTCTTCTTTCTATTGGGACCTATGACTCATCTCTGGGTGGTGGTTGTCACTCCCTCAGTTTCTGCATTTTCAGTGTACTCTCCCTGGACTCCATAAACAAATCCAGTTGTTCCAGGGGCTACATACATCAAAGTTTATTATTTATTATATTTCCTATTAATTTCAAAATCCTTAGCGTAACGCCAGCCCCTCACTAAAAATGCCCTTCCTAGTTTTCTCCCCACCTCTTTGCCCTTCTTTATGCTCATCCTAATAAAATGGAATGACTTGCTGGGCCTTAAGCTGTGTGCTGCTGAGTGCTTTCACACCTGCACAGATATTGTTGCCTTTGTCTGAAATGACTGTTTCCTCCTTCTTCAACTGGTTAGCTCCCGCCATTAAACATGCAGTTACTTTTCTCCCTGAGTAGGCTTTCCTGACTGTAGCAGCAATTTCCTTACTTCATTTATCCAGCAGGTTGTGTTTCTTTGAGGGCAGGATGCATCATGCCATGTCTTTTTTCTTCCTGGGCCTTAGTTGCAGCTCAATAAATTCTTACTGAATGAAGGAGCAATTTTAGATTATGGGCTTGAGAAGAACCTGCTTCTTACAATGGCTGGAAGTAACTTCTCTAATTTAGTCTGGACTAACCTAAGAACAAGGGGAAGAATTTTGGCCAAGAACTACCTAAAAACCATTCAGTGGTTTATTCTGTAGAGGAGGTTTCATGAAGTACCTCCTTTGTAAGGTTTTTATCACACGGCCTGGTAATAACATTTGATAACAACAGGTTTTTATTAGGTTTGCACACCAGATGTATTTAATCTCAACAAACCATGTTATAAGGGAAATGAAGTGAGAGGTGACACATTTGTATGAAATTATCAATGAAAACCTTTAAAGCTTGTATTAATACGTAAGAACTTATTGTGCTAACCACTATGCTACGTATTGTGAAAGATAAAAAAGAAATAAGTAACATTTATTTAGGGAGGGACATAACTTACTGAAATAATTACAGTATTACTGTGATTACTGAAATAAAATTACAATAAAGATAACAAATGATTAATCCATAAGAAAAGAAGGCTCCAAGGAATTGGTCATACCACCATTATTTATAAGATAGTATTATTTTATGGATAGTTACTGACGTACCTATTAACCTTTAAAAAAATGTAGTTGTTTTCCAAAGTTCGCAATCTCAAGTGTAATAATACATCCTATGGTTCTAAATACCAATTTGAAACATTATACAAAAAAAAAAAAAAAAAAAAAAGCCCGAAACCAAGTCTTCAAGGATATCGGGAAGTAAAAATGCAATTTACCAAACCAGTTTTTAACCCCTGGACAGAGAAATGAATACTCGTGTTCTTACAAGGCAGGCAGGATTTCAAACTATACAGTCAATTCTTTTTCTGTGAAAATTTAAGATTTAGAAACTTTTAGTAACACGACGGGAAGACCTAAAAAAGAATGTTCACTGCAATCAATTTCAGGTCATGCTAACAATTCCTCAGTTATTTTAACGCTCTCAACAAAGTTACTTCCCATGTAGACAAGGAAAAAATAATTTCACTCGTTTTTCCCTTTCTTTGATCATCTTTACGCAAAGATCAAAACAAGAACATAAATTGAAATATAAACGTCTGCTTAAGTAAAACCTACATCAAAGGAAGCAGTTACCTGAGTAAGCTGGGTCTTAGTGACAGGCAAAAGCCTCAATACCCTACTCCTAAACAATTCCCAGAAGGGAAGACAGAAATTAGATCCCAAGATGAAGAGACCTCAAAGTTAAGGACTAATTACAATAACTGAAATGTCTAATTTCTAAAAGCTTCCCAATGCACTGACTGCAGTTTTTGGTCAAAATGGGGTTTCCTGAAGAAGGTGCTCACAGATTTCAACAACGGTCTGCAGATGCCAAAGAACACTTCTGATGCTTCGGCGGGGTCTCTGAACACACACCGGTGACAGAGAGGAGATGCAGGTGGCTCCCGCGCCGGACCGCTCCCTGCTCGGGTGTCGCCCGATGCTCTC